CATTTGCTGCTACTCATTTAAATCCTTCTTCTCTAATGAGAAAGGTAAATATGCTAGATATACTTACTGGAGGTATGATGGGATGATTGTAGCTGTCAATTTTCTCCTTGATAATATTTATGTACGTTTCTGCAGTAAATTTATCGACAGGTTGTAGGTATTTCTATGGGACCAATTGCGCCTCTTTAATATATAACAGACTTGTTCTTGTACAGTAACTGTTTATGAACCACAGTTTAAATATGACCAAACTTAGTAAAGACCCGTCTAAATTGCATTTTAAATTAGTTGATAGTTTTAACAACTTACTGTTATTTTGATGATATTTTTCGTTAAATAATCAAACATTTTCTAAATATACTGCCGAAATTTACCAAGGAACTTACTTGAAATAAATGAAATATAAACGGAACATATGTAATAACTGTCCTTCTCTAAATTTAGATATATCAGTTTTACAAAATGTACACTGGAAACTCTACACTAAAATTTACGACAAAAGGGACGATTTTTCGTTTCTTTTTGTTAATTTTCCTCTTTCGACAGTGATGTTCCTTTGGCACCATCTTACGATGTTTATATATCACAACTCATTCGCTATGCCCGTGTCTGTTGTGACGTTTTTGATTTCAATGAACGTAATCTATGTATTACTGGTAAATTATTAAGTCAGGGATTTCGCTACCACAAATTACTTAAAACCTTTACTAAATTCTTCCATAGATACAAACATTTGGTTGTGAAGTTTGGTTGTACCTATAGAAAACTTATTTTAAACGAAATAGCACATCCAAATGTTTATGGGGACGTTGTTTACCGAGCCCAGAAATTTAGATACGATCCGGGTAAACTTATCGATCCTTTAAATAAACTTATTATAAAAGGTTACCAACTCAATAGTGTAATAAGATCTTTGACTATTGTTTTTATTGGTATTGATATTGATTTTGTTATCAGTAAATCAAAATTAAACTAAATATTATTTTTATATACATATGCACATTCATGGCTCTATAATCCGTCGATACCTGTATCTTGGCATTGCACAAGGTCATGTTTTTCTCTGATTGTTAATGACGTCTTTACACTAAATCCATTGGATGTTGGATGTGTGCTGTTAGTCTGATATGCATGATTGTTTTGAAAGTTGTTATTAGCTTTGAGCGAGCAGTCAGTAACTGCGAGTACTCTCAAATCTGTACTTAATGTCTGTTTTGTTGTGGGGATGTATAAGTACCCTGCCACGTCCAGTCTGGGTTTTTAGTTAGATGCTTAGTATCGATCTTATGAGTTGAGCCCTTTTCAACTGATTTTTATATGATAGTTTGTTCTTATGTTGTACTGTAACACCACTGTCCAAGATAAGGGTATGGGTTGGCGCCTTCAAACTAGTTTAACCCCGCCACATTCTGTATTTGCCTGTCCCAAGTAAGGAGCCTGTAATTCAGTGGTTGTCGTTTGTTGCTGTATATCATATTTGTTTTTCGTTCATTATTGTGTACATAAATCAGACCGTTATTTTTCTCGTTTGAATTGTTTTACATTTGTCATTTCGGGGCCTTATTTAGCTGACTATGGGATATGGGTTTTGGTCATTATTGAAGACCGTACGGTGACCTATTATAGTTGTTAATTTCTATGTCATTTGGTTTCTGGTGGATAGTTGTCTCATTTGCAATCATACCACATATTCTTATTTTTATAAGTTATTATCTCTTCCATTTTGAAATTCAACCATGTGATCATGCATAGTTTGTTCAACATATTCATGAACCTTTCATACGTTCTTTTGGAACATGTAAAAGGAGTAGGTCCGGTAAGGGCCGATTTTGGCCTCAAATTTCAGGTTCATCTGATGAAATATTTTGGACACTTTTTAAACACTCAAGTGTCTACTTTAGTAGATTCAATTAGTTTATCTGAAAGATTTGGGCCGATTTAGTCACTAAAGACGCTCAAATTCAGGCTTAAATATTAAAAATCTATCAATTATGCCATAATATGTCACTTTTCAGATGGTTTTTGTCAAAAATGAAAGTGGCCGCATTCGTGTTCATCCTCGATCTTTATATATGATATGTATTATCATCAAATACAACTTACATTTAAATATTAAGAATGAACACGAATGCGGCCACTTCCATTTAAGACGAAAACCGTCTAAAAATTAACTCAAATGCTAAAATTGTGAAGATTTCAGTAATTTAGCATGACTTAAGGATGCTAGTACCCGATACATGTGCATTGTATTGTCAAAAACAGCCAATATTTATGTAACAGAAGTATTCTTTTTTCCAATAAATAGCTAAAAGATTACATTTTAACAATTTTGTAAAACTGCTATATTTTGGGGCCAAAAAGGGGTCTTACTGGACCTACTCCTTTGATCTGACCTTCTTCTGTCTAGGAGGTTAAATCACAACTTAAGTCAGAAAGTTTTAAACTCAATGTTTTAATCGTTAATTTGTTTGAAATATTGTTTATCGGCTTTACTGGATTGTGTTTATCATGTATATGCTGGACTGTTTGTTATCCCTCGTAACAAGATATTGCAAAATTTAACTGACGAGTTTGTAATGCCCCTTCGCCCGTCAGCACCGTTTTTTTCTTCAACTCTATTAGAAACCACCGAAAATCTTCATCAAACATTGTCATTGACGTTTAACTTACATTCTGCTTGGTTATATTTTATTGAAAGTGCTCGAATCTATTTTATTTCTGCTTCAGGTGTGTAGAGAAAATTAGAGAAAAGACCAACTATCTGAAAAATTGAAATAAACCTCTCTTCCGATGCTATCAAAATATCTTCCTTTTAAACTAATTTACAATAAAAATTGAAGGAAGAAGGAATATTGAAACTTTGGTTTGCGTAATAAGGTGTCTGAGTAAAAAATAATATTTTGTATACATCATTTAGATAACAACCCAAAGATACAAGTAACAAAAAAAATAATATGGAAGCGGTTAGAACTTTGCCTATATGGGCGTTTTTAGTGTCCGCAAATGTCAACATCTTATCGGAGTTTAGGCGAAAATTCCACAGAACAATGTAGAGAAAGTGCTTACATTAGATAAGATTAAGCCACAAGAATAGTTTTGTAAGTGACCTTGCAATATAGTATTATCCTACACGGCAAGGAAATATGTGTTAGTTTAACCAAATATAACCAGTAAATAAAATAAACAGCTTTTAAAGAGCTGCATTCTTGGATATACTTCAAAGGTTTCTCTAGGAAATTAAGAGGCAAGAATAAACTCAGCATTGAAATGATTTAATGACAAATAAATCTCAAAACATTATAAAAGTAAGGGGAAAATAGAAGCCCAAAAATCAGGGGAAGTATTGGCATTGCTAATATAAAAAAAAAACAAGTAAAGTTTTATTATAAATTCAAAAGTTTGTATAAGTGTATATTTCCCCATAATAACGTCGACAAAATGTTTACAACCATACTTCCTGTTTTAAGTTATCTTTGTCCTTAGTTATAGTACTTCGGACTTTAGTTGGCTTATCAAAATACAGTTTCAATTATTATTTTTAGAAATGATTTCCCTGTCGTACATGTACCATTGCACTGTGTTTATGCTATGATTTCCAAAAGCATATTTACATGTAACATATGAATTAATTTCCACCTATTTTGAAAGAACCCACTGGCAATCTATAATAATTCAGAAATAAAAAAAAAAGATAATGCATTGTTTTTAGATTTTCAAATATAGTTAAACGAGCCAAAATTGTATTTAAAATAGTATTTAAAATCTATAACCTCACTCATTTACAGTACCTGACCTTAATAAGATAAAAGACTAAATTATTGATACAGATAATGTATCAAGAATTAATGTTTTCAAATCTTAACACTGTCCATAGTACCAGGATGGTTTTCAAAAGTTCCCACAAGCTTTCACTATTATGAGTAAGAGATGCACATCATTATCTGTGTATATTAATACTTAAATTAGATCCTTTTGGGAAGTTATATTGTACATAAATAGTCCGAATGAAGATACTATGAAATACACGAACATTAACGATACTAATTTTATTGCACCAAATGCTAATTTCGACAATAAATGTCTCTTCAGTGATACTCGAGGCCAGATTTATTAAAAAAATGATTATAACAGTATGTACAATGTACCATTTAATGTATCAGTCTGATATATATCTCCAAAGCATACACCAACAAGTTCATGAATTGTTTTAAATTTGGTGGGCGAATAGTCAAATATCTAAGTATCCGTAAGGTCTTTTCTCTTCAAAAAGTAAAACTTAGTTGTTTTGAAATACGCATCTCTGTGTAAGATGTACTCTTATTATGAATTATAAACTGTTTATTATGTGTACACTTTCGCTTGTTCAAAAATGTGGTCTTATTTTTATATTAAAGTCTATATAATCTTAAATAAAGTAGATTGTAATTCATTCATCAAACACCGGAAACGGTACCCTAAATTTAAATTATAAGTATATTTTTAGGAAAAGGTCAAGTATGAACAAAACTTATCGGATTTCTTCTGTCATTAAAGGGGAATCGGTGGCCGAGTGGTCTTAGTAGTGAAACTATTGTATCACTAGCCTCCTCGATTCAGGTGGCAGTCCGCTAGACTCCAATCTTAATTGACAAGGATAGTCAGTTTTCCCACCGAGGGTCAGTGGTTCTCTCCGGGCACTCCGGCTTCCTCCACCAATAAAACTGACAACTACGAAATAGCACAATAGTGCTGAAAGTGGCGTTAAAAAACAAATCAATCAATCTTTTCATCAAAGATTATTAATTGAGGATTGTCTTACCTAGTACATGTATGCCATTCAGAGTCAATATCGTTAATATAAATTGGTATTGATATATTTACTATCAAATAAATCCTTGGGTCGTAAAATGGTGCCCATAATAATTAATTACGAAAAACAAAATAGATAAATTAATTGCTGTTTGCTAAACGTTCAGTAGCAAATGTTATGCATGTTCAGGAAGAAAACACATTTAAAATAATTAAAAAGGAGGTCATATAATAGGGGTCGTCCGTAATGATGGTATAGAATTTTGAATGTCACTTGCAAATGAAGGCATATCAAATATGGAAAAAAATGTTGCCTTGCAACAGACCACATACGGACCCTCACATAGTCGTTGCTAGGGTACATAAGGCGTGGCACTCTCTGTACACGAGGAATCGTATTTAACGTCTCCATTTTGACCATATTGATTGTATCCGACTTTTTATTCTAACAAAGATATTATTAAGAAAATAATTTTATCTCATACGATATTGTAATAAATATGTCTTTTGTTTAGTTCAAAAGGCACCGGGGTCATTGAAGGATATTCCTGCCCGTTCGTGTGTCTGTCCACTACAAACCTAGTTTCTGTATATTATTTGGAACCTTTAAAATTATCTCTTTATGATTTCCCATACCTCTTCTTATAAAATTTAATGAAAAAGGAAGTAATCCTAACACAGGAAAAGATATTTTATAAATTAGAAGTATAAATAATTTTCTGATTACTTTTCCTGTCGTCACAAGAGATGATTTCCGACTACATCACATTTTCGTGTAATCCGAGGACGCCAGTTATAGTGTTTATTAAATACAGAATGGAGTTAATTCACATTTTCTTATTTTTTAGCGTTGATTTTCTTTCTGTGATGCTGGCTACTGGTGAGTAATTCGTTGGAATATTATCACGTTTTTTTTTAATATTTAGGTTTGTGCGTTCCTGATCAATGTATTTACTAAATCCAGAAAACCCTAAACATTTAATATAAAAAAAAAAAAAAAAAAAACAAAAAAAAACAGGGATGTATAAATACGTATAAACATTAATAAGGGACGTGTGTCATACACTTATCCATGAATTACCCTTAACCCGGAAATTTACCTTTATCCCATTACCCTTCACCAGGGAACAAAATTTTTCTATATTTTTCCACAAAGCAAAATATTTTATAGTAAGTCTTTTGATAGGATTTATAGTAAAGAATTAAATTGTTTTGGATATGTAGTCGACGTGTTACAATTTGCTACACGTGCTTCTTTTAAATACAACTCGAAGTAAACAACGAAGTATAATTACGTTCTAGTTATTCTATTTCTGTATGTATGACCATACTGGTTGATTGTAATTATCAAATATTGCAGAATAGTGAATAGAACGTTCGAACTGAAAATGTTTGATTGGCGTAGTGAAACTGACAAAAAATTGATTCATAGCTTTTTTGCGAATAGAAATCTCGTTTCACAATGAACACCAGTATACAATTTGGTCGATTTGCATAACTGCACTAGTCTACCAATTTGCACTTTAAAATCATTCAAGGGAAAACTTCTAATAAATCGGATTAGTCGTGAACAGTTAAAACCGAGCATTGTTGATCATTGATTTGACAATAAAGCAAAATTGCGATCTCAGGCCTGTTCTAATGAAGACTCGAGAATTTGAATATGCTGCTTTTCCGCAAAGAACGTAGCATAAGAGAAAGATGAAAGACTGGTCGGCTCTGGATCAGAATAAGATGTCCGGGTAGAGTGACACGTTGAAAATCCAGCTCAGCGAGAAGGTCTAGTACAAATTAGGGTTCGTATTTGTATCACATTAACATGTTCTCGACCTAAATATGCATATAATTTGCCACTTGCACTTGCCGTTAAACAGCCAACAATCAGTCCATCTATTTCATGTTCGTTTTCCAAATTTATAACTTTATCTGATCGAATTGTTTTGTACTGTTGTGTTAAGGTTTTTTTTTTTAATTTGCCTCCAATAAATCTTATTCTTCGAAGAATAAAACTCACAATACCTATTGCGCAGCAGAGTCTATTACGAAATAATTCAGATTTTACGTGTAATTTGAAATATTGATATTAAAATCTCGCATTATAATTTATTGATATTCAAGCTGCATTTATGAAAGTGGGAATCATCCAGCAGGTTGATGAAATAAAAGTATTACGTGAATGAGAATTTAATTATATAATTTCTATTTCAACATGTCAGAAGTACAAGTTGCAGAATGAAACGTGTTAACTTTAAGAAGGTCTTCGTGGAATCCTCACTCGTACATGTATAGGTCGTTTATCTTCAATTGCTAATTGATCCTGTCTTTCTTTTTTTCTGATTTAAAAAAAAATAAATTAAAACAGATGTTTGGTAAGATTTTATGAATAACAGGGCTCATTTAGTTAATAATAGCAACTTCCATGTCAAATAATTAAGTAGTTTTGGACATAAAGATGACAAGCCGCAGATATTCAAAATTGCAAATTCTACCGTATTCGTACATTAAACAAATACATGTATACGTCCATAGCTTACAATTTTCAGTTAAACTCGCATGCTGTTAAACAAGTGAGCAACCAGTTGATTTTTTATTAGTGGGGGTTCTTAGAAAGTTATTCTTAATAATGCATTTTAGTTTCACTGATTCAATTTTTCAGATTTATCAGTTTTTCTTTTTCTGACTGGTCCTGGCTTTTTCTTTACATATTGTCAAATTGAATTGGTTAGTCTGTATTGCATCCTTTTCTAGCTATACATGTAACTAATTTACTATTATATGTAATAGTCTGTTTTCTTTAGGATAACGAAGAGGAAAAATGATAAGGCATGATCGTTTATTTTGTTGTTATACCACTTTAATCATGTTCATCCTCATTTGTAATCCAAGATATGATTATTTTCATTGTTCAATTGATATCCTCTTGATACAAAATCGGGTCTAATACTGGTTGGTTAACAGTAAAAAAAATTAGCTGTAAAATATAAAGCTACTATAAGTGTGTGATCCATAGCAGCAATGATACCTAGCTTTAGTATAATTATGTACTCGTAAAACCAAATCCAGTATTTTATAAAAAAAATAGGAAGATCTGGTATGATTGCCAATGAGATAACTCTCCACCATAGACCAAATGATGTAGAAGTTAACAACTATAGGTCACCGTACAACCTTCAACGATGAGCAAAACCAATACCTCATAATAAGCTATAAAAGGCTCCGAAAGACAATTGAAACATAATTCAAACGAGATATCTAACGGCCTGATTAATGTACAAAATAATCGAAAGCTTTATGACCGCAAGGCCGAACTTTAAAGCAATCAGGGGCCTAGGTGAAAGAGTGGTATAGGTAGTCCAACTACTGTATCACTAGCCCGTCAACACTGAGGTTGTGAGATCGAATCCAGCCAGCATGATACAGGTGCGCTTGACTTAAGTGACTAGGATTGTCAGTTTTCCTGCCGAAGGTCGTTGGTTCATTCAGGGCACTGCGGAATCCTCCACCAATAAAAACTGAACGCCACGAATTAGCACAATAGTGTCGAAAGTGGCGTTAAACACCAATCAATCAATCAATCATCAATCAATCAATTAAAAATAATACTTTTTTTCATAAACTTCAGAGCATAGTTGGATTGAAGGCAAAATATATGAAACTATGAAATATCTTGATAATTTGTGACGTTCCATTTCTGTCTGCATTTAGTCATTTTCTGTAGCAATCAGAACCTTTATTTTATAAAATGTATAGTTCACACCGGCAGAAACCAGAAAGGAATTGAACCAAAGTTCAAATGGCAAATTTTGGAATATTTAACTGCTCATTTTGGATTTTGCCTCTGATATATTTTTTAGCTGTTTCTCTTAAAAAAAGTTAATTGAAAGAAAGAAAAAATGAACGGCAAAATAACCGTAAAACGAAATCTACAAATAAATCAGCGTGGAGGAATTCAGTAATTTTTTATTTAGTCCTATTTGCAGGAGTTAATTCCCTGAAATGACATGTTTACCCATTGTGTCATTTATTTTGGCTATAAACTTGAAAATTATAATAGATGTAAAGACATGACATAGGCAAAATATCTTTGTTCTTACTGTGCTATAATCTGGATAATGCACAGCTTATGTGTGCATTATCTATCTCAGATATATTGCACAGTTCAAATGTACTCTTACCTTTAGTGGGTGGGTCAAGGATTTTTCAAAGGAAGGCGTTATTTCATTAAAAAAAAGTTTACGACTTTATGTTGCAAAACTATAAAACTATACATTCTTTACAATCAAAAGGAGGGGGGGGGGGGGGGGTATAAAAGCCTTATACTCACCATACCCCTGAATCCACCACTGAGTCATTGCAATTATTACATAGTTGATCGATCAACAACTTTGTATAAACTTCGTCGTTTCAAAATATGAAAAAAGTAATAGATTGTTGGCTGCTTAACGTCCAGTGGCAAATATGTCATTCATGTTCATGACGAGAACAAATAAACATAACAATATGAAAAAGAGATAGTTTCTCATCCCGTAAACTGGAAACATTTATAATAAAATTTGTGTACAATTTAAATCTTAAATCAGTGTTTCAAAGTCAAACTAGATATAAAAAAATATAATTTCTGCCAAAAAATGAATGTATTTAAGAATATCCAAATATCTGAAATCTGACTTGGATTACTAGTTTTGTGCTCAATGTAATTTATTACGCCTTTTTAAATATTCATTCCTTTTTTTGTGACTATTTTTGGGTCGAATACAATGAGGTTCATATTTAGGTATGTGCCAAAACACGATAAAATATAAGTTGCAAATCAATAAATCTTGGTTAAGATGCGACATGTTCTCAAACAAAATTAATCGCCGTATACAGTTGACAATGAAATGAGGGGTTATATATTGAAAATAGAAACGTTTTCTCTGTTTTCTTTGCACTATAAATTAGGGCACACCTCTTCGATTAATCTTCCTCTCAGCATATTCTTGAGGGAAAACATTGTGATTAAATTTAACAGATACAATCAAATATCTGCCATTAAAATGCAATTCTCCAAGTAATGTAACAATTTAGGAGAAAGCCTAAATATCAAAAAAGTAAAAAAAAATAAAGTTACCAACCTTAAAATTTACTACAAAAGGCGTATTTCTCCCTTTTCTTTACGCTACAATAGAACTTTCGTGGATTGAAAATCATCCTCACATTTCCAAAACGTTCATGTACATTGATGGCGTCATGTGTTAAAACAGTTATTGGTCAGTCAAATCGGTATTATTAGGTCACTTAATCTGCACGGTCGGGACGACCCTCTCACACGAAATCCTACGTCGTTCGGGTCAAGTAGGATCACCCGAGCCGTGTAGATTTAATGACATGTATCGATTTGCTTTTTCAATAATTATAACATATTTCGTACAAAATTGGTCGGCAAGATAAGATTTGGAAATAAATTGACATATTAACTAAAATTATCAATTAACACATTATACCAATAATTGTCCTTGAATGAACATTTTAAGCCAATTTTGGCGTCTTTGTCAATTATTTTGATAACCACAGTTAACAAGATAACCGTGCACTGGAAAAATATACTAGCAATTAGATAAGATTTTCAAATAAGTGAACATAATATACTTTAAGGTAGCTAGGGTGTCTTCCTCCATCTTGGATTTTGAAATAGCAGATAAGAATTGGTCTAGGTCTTTAATGAAATGTACAAATTTCGAGAGTAGTATATGTAATTCATGTGTAAGACTTTTCATGTTTATATAGAAAAGTATGTGTTTAATCATATTTACGGCTGTATTTTCCAAAAAAACAATATTTTTGTTGATTCATTTTTTTTAAAACTTTGCCACTTAAGGGGAGATAACTCAGATAAAGTAACTTTTATAATAGAATGTGTCGTGAATTTACCTATTTATTATGAAGCAAGAAATTTAGTCCGGTGACCCCATTTTTTCTATTCTTATCTGAAAGCATATTATTAGAGCTATCTTTTCATATTTTATCTTAAAATTCTAATGTGTTGTTTTCTTTTTATCACACAAAATTGTGTTTTCCATGCATAATCTATACAAAATCTGACAATTTTGCACAACCTGTAGCTTGAAAAAAAGCCCGGTGACCCATACTTTTTATTATATTATTGAAAAAAAGCATGTTATAAACTACATTTTCACAAATTATTAAAATATTCTATGGATTTTAATTTAGAGCCCCCATCTACATTAAGGATTGTTTTAATCATTTCATTAATCATGATTTAAGTGAAAACTTTATTTTTTTCAAATCTTGATATATATTTTATAATCTTATGTAAAAGGATAAAATATAACGAAAACACAACTGACGGTTCATTGTGTGTAAAATATCAATTGGATATTGGTGCAGGAATTTAATGTAGAATGTGAAATAAAGGGAGTATTTATTTTCATCCATTTTGAATTTCCTGGAAAATGGACCATGTATTAAAAGCAGTGACCCCGTTGTCAGCTGTCCTGGACTGCTAATGTTTAATGTTCAAATTCTACTGGATTTTTTATTCTTCACCTACGAGGGGAATTATGTTTTTCGGTCTGTGTGTCCGTTTGTTCATCCGTCCGTTCGTCCGACAGTCCGTCTGTCCCGCTTTAGGTTAAAGTTTTTGGCCATTGTAGTTTTTGATGAAGTTGAAGTCCAATCAACTTGAAACTTAGTACACATGTTTCCTATGATCTGATCTTTCTAATTTTAATGCCAAATTAGAGTTTTGACCCCCCAATTTCACGGTTCACTGAACATAGAAAATGATATTGCGAGTGGGGCATCCGTGTACGATAGACACATTCTTGTTTAAAACTAAATTTAAAAAAAATATCGATAAAGAGGAACTGTCAACAACACAACAAGACCTTCACAAAATAAATTTATGGAAATTATCAATTAACTTCGGGTCATTATACTAGGTACAACATACTTAACATAACTTTTTGTAGGAAACATAAACCAAAATCATCTTTAGGATTAAAATGATGACTCTTTTCCTACTTTAACTTTATACACCACTTACATGTGTAGCATATTAAAAATTTCTGAAGGAAGATTGTAGTGCTTTTGAACCTAAATGTTTTGCACTATATTTTGCGCATACACGAATTTAGATTTATTTTGTATTAATTCTATATAACGTTTATAATCATCAAAGAAAAGAATACCATGTAAACTTTTGCGATTCTGCCACGAAGCAAAGAACAGCGCTTTTATTTCTGTTCTTCATCTCAAAGTCACAATGAGGCCTTAAACGCGGAACAAAAATACTCTCACCTCACTGCAAGTTTAAGTCGGCCCCTAGCACCGGCTTGAGCGGAATTCTTTGCAAAAATAATTTGGATTGACTTTGTAAGATGTAACACCACCTAATCGGGCCCGGTCAAAAAGAACATACTTGAAAGTAGTACATATTTAAAACAAAATAGTTCCTACGCGTAGGTGTAAATCCTAAAACTATGTAGCATATATTTTAGTAATTAAGGTATCAGATGAAAGGTGGAGGACTGATGATCCGGCTTGTAAAACACACAATTTACTGTTAATTTTGAATAATACAAAAAAGTATGAATGAATTCTAAAATTGAGGGCATATATAGCCTGTTTCTCAGATATGAAGTGCCTGGTTTGGTGTATCCAAAAATCCGGTAACCAGTGCAGTACGGTTTGATGTATAAATACAGGTATATTGATCCCGCTTCCATAAAATGTTTTGAAGTGAAAATTTTAACGTGGTAAGGAATGAGGACCAAGAATCGGTGGTGTGCTTCTTTTTAAAAATTTTAGTATACAAACTGTCCTAAAAATAAGAAAATGATGTTGCACACATAAGAGAAGTCATCTCAAGAATAAATACACCATAACTTTAAAAATACAGAAGAGCATAAATATGTATAATTTCTTATACCAATAATTTAAAATTTTACATTTATCTACGAGAATGGTACAACAATTTAATGTTTCGAATTTCTGAAATTATCAACTCCATACATTCAAATTAAATTAACATTGTCAATGATATAATTTTGTGAAAGCCTCATCAACATTATCTACATAGATATAAGAAGATGTGGTATGAGTGCCAATGAGAAAACTCTCCATCCAAGTCACAATTTGTAAAAGTAAACCATTATAGGTCAAAGTACGGCCTTTAACATGGAGTCTTGGTTCCCACCGAACAGCAAGCTATAAAGGGCCCCAAAATGACTAGTGTAAAACCATTCAAACAGGAAAACCAACGGTCTAATCTATAAAAAAAAAACGAGAAACGAGAAACACTTATGAACCACATCAACAGACGACAACCACTGAACATCAGGTTCCTGACTTAGGACAGGTGCAAACAAATGCAGCGGGTTTAAACGTTTTAATAGGCGCCAACCTTCACCCTACCTGAAACAATAGTGTTACATCACAACATAGAAAGACACACTATAAAACATCAATTGAAATGGCTTAACTCAATCAAAAGACATATTAACAAAAACAAGTGAACATACACTGAACGAATGAATTTGATCTATGACACAATGTAAATACAAAATTAATAAAACAAGGGGGTTAGATGTAAAACAATATCAGAAAGACAACCATAACCATGGACAAAATGCCGTGCCTTCATTATGTTTTTTTTCTAACTTTGACTATTCAGTTACATGTAGTCGTTAATCTAAAACACTATAATGTTATAAGTGAATATTTTTTTTACAAAAATTATGTTAAGATTTCGTGTAAGACATGCATAGGGAAAATATGCTGCAATCGTGTGTAACAAGCATCTACGCTTATAAGAATGAAAGCGTCAAGAAATATCAAATGTTTCTAATAAACATATTTTGTTAACATAGGTAAACCAGACAAACCAAAGGATATCAAAGTAACTGTTACAGGAAACACTACCAAAGTGTCCTGGCAAATTCCACTACAGACTGGCTTTTCAAGAATATATCTGAAAAACTCAGCAACAACGTACGTTTCTTTGGACTTACCAAGGAGCGTCTCGACAGAAAGGCGTAGAATGAATAGGGATTTACATGCACCAGCATCCAGTATTGTGATTGAGGGATTACAGATGTGTTCTGAATATGTCGTCATAATTATGATTTATGGTGATGGAGCATTTTCAGAAGAAACCGAACAAAAGTTTTGGATAACCAGTAAGTAAGAACGGTTTAACATATATTTATATTATGAATCGTGCAAATGACGAATATTTGTAATTGCCACACATGCATCAATTTTGTATTTTTCTCTCATTGATTTAATGAAAATAGAAGCATGCTTCTCTGATACGTTTCTGAAAGTTGAAAGTATTATATACTAAATTTCAAATTATGCTGAAAAATTTAATATCAATCTAGTCGGATATTACACATGTTTGATTCTTAAGGCGGCTTTTAAGCCCTTCATAAAATTGTATAATTATCAGATTTTCATTATATTTATATGTACCGATTATCAGGACTGCATATTGATATTGTAAAATATCAGCTGCGAGTCACATTATGAAGCTTTTTGTCGAGTGTGCGAGAGATTAAATTTACATTATAAGAACGACTCCTATTAATTTACTCGTTGATAAGTAAAAGTGAGATTTCTTCAGATAACTGATTATTTAATTTATGTAAATTTGGATGTAATATGATTTATTTTTTACTTACTAGTACTTCTGACAGCCAAAATATTTAATTACAAAACGCTGCACTTGTGGAAATATATCACAGTAACTACGCTTGTTTACTTTCCTTTGGATATCATTTCGTGGTTTTCTCATTATGTTTGACCAGGGAAAACTCACATTTTAGACTGTTAAATCTTTAATTTCCTAGCATAAATTAGTCATTGTTTGCGGGAATTTGCTCATTATGGAAGATATTTACGGAAGTTTGATGGTAAAACAACAAGTATTTGTACCAGTTTTCTTGATGTGATTAGTTAATGTTTGGCCGTATATAGGAAATTTTTACCATGTAGATTCTGAAATTCTAATAACAGGAAACAGGTCATCGGAAATTTTAATAATTTTTATTTTGTTATTCTGTTCAGTCAAATCTTTTGCTAAACTGTCACTGGGAACAGGAGAAACATAACATGTAGATTAAGCGAGTGTGACCCTTCCTGTTTTCTTCTCGTGTAAAATGCACACTTTTAAGACTTCGACTACTCACTCTCATCAAAATAGAGCTAATATTTTTTTGTTTAAGAATAAAGTTTTTGTTTTTTAAATTAAAGAGAAAGTAACGATCTTATATAAGTTAAAGTCGTTTTTTTAATATGCCTACTCTGCTATGATGACTTTTTACAAAGGCATTTCATTTTTTTCGAAAGCTCAACATAGGGATAATGATCCGGCGGCGGCGGCGGCGGCGTGAACTAACTTCTTAAAAGCTTAATATTTCAGAAGGTAGAAGACCTGAATGCTTCATACTTTGTATATAGATGCCTTATGTTATGAAGTTTCCGTCTGTCACATGTCCATTGTCCTTGACCTCATTATCATGGTTCAGTGACTACTTGAAAAAAAGTTAACATTTTTTGTAATGTTAATTTCTCTCTTATTATGAGGAATAGGATAACTATATTTGGTATGTGCGTACCTTGCAAGTTCCTCATGCCTGTCAGACAGTTTTCACTTGACCTCGACCTCATTTCATGGATCAGTGAACAAGGTTAAGTTTTCGTGGTCGAGTCAATATCTCAGATACTATAAGCAATAGGTCTACTATATTTGGTGTATGTAATGATTGTAAGGTGTACATGTCCAACTGGCAGGTGTCATCTGACCTTGACATCATTTTCATGGTTCATTGGTCAATAAAGAATTTCCAAAGTTTGGTCTGTTTCTTTTATACTATAAGCAATATGTCATCTATATTCTGTGTATGGAATGATTGTATTAAAGGTGTACATGTCTGTCTGGCTTGGTTTATCTGACCTTGATCTCATTTTCTTGGATCATAATTGTTAATATGAAACGTGTAGTAAAACTTTATATGTAGGACTATCAACATAAAATCAATGGTCAGTATAGAAGACGAGATATTTCAGCGTGTGCACTCTTGTATCCATATATGCGGTTGTCGAATAATGTGAATTCTGAATAATATAACACCAACATTTAGCTTCAAAATACAACAGATAATGAATTTTGAAGTAAGATGTTTTCGGTTTACGCGTTCTAGTCCGAAGAATATGTCCCCGCTCAGTAAAGTGGTCAGTGCGTCGACTGTATTGATATGATTTAAAGCATGCTCCTCCTATTCTCCGTTGATAAATTTAGAAATAATTTAGAATCAAAGGGTCCGTCACCCTCAGGTAAAATTTACCTGATGGTGGATGTGGGGATCCTTTTAATGTCCATGTGGTCATATTGCTCCTGTAGTGTTCATGATTTATACATTCTCAAATGTTTAGGGTTTGCGGGTTCCTGATGAAAGTAAACCCATAAACGCGCTTCAAACTCATGAAATTTATAAAGCGATATTTTCACTTGGTCTGTACTGCTACTGACGGACTGATATCTTTATGATATATCATCAGTGCCTTAGACAGTCTCTCGGTACTGACATGTTGTATATTATGCCTTTCTTAATTATCCGCTGATTCAGTTAATGATTGTTTCTTGCTTATTGACCAATGACAATCATAATCATATTGGGCATGAAAAAAATATATAATAAGTAATACAAGAGGTAGTCTCTGCGAAGTATACCGACCGAGATGAAGTGCGGTAAATAAACAGCCACTACAAATTTGCGTATTTTGGATATTAAAAAAAAAAAAAAAACACTTCGGACGCGGGGAATATGGTAAGGTCAATAACCGTTAATGTTATTATTAAGTGTTTTTTCAATTGTTGGATAGCGGTAGAAATATTGACCTGCAACACGATTCCTACAGACCACTCAGAGATTGTTGCAAAAGTAATTCTTAAACAAGCCCTCGATCTAACGTCCAAATTCCAAACGGACATGAAGCTGCGTATGTATGTACCTCACAGCCAAACGGATATCTAACTGTAGTAAGGGTTTTACTGCCGGAACGGAAGAAGTTTAGGAATTAACATAATGTTATGTCTATATCATAGTAAACCAACTAATTTCTGTAAATATGTAGTCACACTACCATAATCTAAAAAAATGACTGAAAAAAGAACGAAAAACAGTTGAATATCTAGCCAGCGAGACGTCGGAGGTCGATCGACCTCGAAATTTCTGGTACAAAGTGCACAGTTTTGGATTATAACACAAAATATTGTCTTTGTTTGCTTCTAGTTGGTATAAAAAAATAAGAAGTATATATCAGAAAATCGTTTTATAAGCGGTAACCTCATCAAAACAGTAGAAATGGTTTAAATTCAAGGAATTCTAACCTTGTTTATTTGTTTCTCCTTTCTCTCTGCTTCGTTGGTACCCAATTACCGGAGGCGATGATACACAGTGATTGTTGTCAATCAAAATAGCTACATAATGCATTTTGTTGGGTGTTTTTTTTAGCTACCAAGACTGTGTCCAAGAATTCTTTGAATGCATTTGGCGTGTATTTGTCATCTCATGGTTTTTACATTCTACAGTTGAGTTCCACTTTAGATATGTATAAGACTAAATTGTGAACTGAATGATTTTTTTTCTAAACCCATTCTCTACATAATAAAAAATAAGATGTATTGAAATTTTGAACTCAACAACATTGGTGAAAATATGTAATGTGTATGGGTAAGTCGATGTCAATATTATTTCATAATATTTAAACCAGTATTTACATTTATTTTATTTATTTGGTTCATACATGTTTGCCGGTTATAGTCGGCATAATTTCATATTTTTAAACAGGTGACGGTAAAAACATGCGTGAGATCTTACCTAATACCTTTTTACTTCGGTCTATTCACTCCATGCAAAAATACAGGTTAAATTGGAACGTACAAACAAGTCGTACCTATGAAAGTAAATAGATCTTAAGAATGAATAATTAGGTTTGAAAGGTTGGATTATATTCCATGTAAAATAGATTCTGAATGAAAATTGTAACAAAATGCGTTATAACTCTTAGTGCCGCAATGATTTGCAGTTTTCGGCATAGTAATATACATTTTGTAAATACCCTATATCTACAGCTACATGTAGCTAGCACACATATTTTTGAAACATGCGCACACATTTTTTGCGCTCTTATGCTCTAAATATTTTCATTTCACTAATACACCTAATTTATATGGTGACCCCAAGGGTTAACTATGGTATAAATTTGATTACCTGGTCCTCTCTCATTCCGTTAGTTAAAGGCTACTATATTGTGATTCCGTTTAGTTGTGTGTGATGTTTAATTACGCAGCAACGTCTGGTCAGAATGGGGATTTTAAATACGATGTTTCGTGAAGATTATCACGCTGTTTGTACGTTACAATTCTGGCAACATTTCTTTGTGGATTCCATAGGTAGCCTGTTGCAAGGCTTTATATCTGCCCTTATTTGCAGTGTCAGTCTTAATTTTCTGCCTTTCATACCGGGCGGTCTGTCTTATTTACCTATTATATTCCTTGTTAACTGTGTCTTGTCCAGTATATGCATGAAACAATTACCACTGCACGTATAGTAAGCAACAAATCAATCAATGATTCATATTTGATTGGAAGACGTTTGATAAAACATTCTTCACATTATTTAATATCAAGAAGTTAGATTTTTTACATCATAATTTCATTTCGTTCAATCTGAATATATACGAGAGGAGGAAAGAGACCAGCTTAATCTCCCTTATTTTTTTTAATTTCTCATTGACTTAAATGATTACCGTATTTGTCCTGTAAAATTCGAAATATCAGAAGTTCTTTTATGTCGTGCCCTATTTGCATATTGATAATTAACGATCGATATCAACGATTACAATTTCAGATTAATACATAAGATTTGTATGCCCACCTACGATAGTTGTGGGACATGATGTTTTCATAGGTTTTGCGTCCGTTCGTCCGTCTCAAGATTTGCATCCCGTATCAAGGAAAAATGTTCATTCAAGTTAGTTTAACATGAAGTTGTAGTCCCATTACTACAAACTAAGTACACAAAAGTCATGTCAATTATGTTGTGAACTTTTAAAATTATATCCAAGTAACGATCCCAATTTTACGGTTGACTGAACATGAAAATCTAGTATT